TTGTTGTTATATTTAATATTAACGAATACTTAAAAATCTATTAATCTATTGAAAATGAAGTTTAATCTAATGTAAAATTTTTAGACAGAATTTCGTTTATCGTCATTAATCAATATTGAAAATTTTTATATGGTTCATAATTAAATAAAAATTATTCAAATAAAAATTAAACTATTCTTGATATATCCAAAAAAAAGTCAAAGTGAACATTTTGTTATTAAAATGAATTTAAAAAAATGAAAAATTTATAATGAATTTATATACATGATAATTCAACTTTTAAATATGAAGAAAATTATTGAAATTAAAATTTTATTACATATCATTGAAACACGAAAAAAATTATCAATAATATAAAATTAATTTCGTATCTTTTTATTAATTTCAAAAGACGTAAAAAACATATTTTGAATCATTTAATGAAAATAAAGTATTTTCATATAATGATCAATTGTAAACAGCTGTTACATATTCTTTTTTTGGCACTATGTTAGTTTTTCTTTTTATTTTTTTGTTTTTCAATTTCATTTAAAATAGAATTAATTGTTCTTGTAAATTATACTTGGGTCACTGTTGTTTGTATCCTGCTGATGCCAATATGAAGAAATAAATATATATTTTTGTCTTTCTTTTTTAGAATAATTACATTCTTTCATCGATACTTATCATTCGACTGATAGAATAAACTATTAGCACATAGCCGATTTTGATCATTTATTATGGGTACTTTTTCCGAGGTTTGTAATTCTTTCTATAAATACAATGAATATCCTACTTATTGTTTTTTCTTTCATATTAAGGCTGGTGCTGATCAACTCATTAGCGAAGCAAAGAAAAATGATTTGGGTGGTAAACTTGCTTCGATAGAGGTTTTATTTTCTTAAAATTTTATTATTTATTTCAATATGAAATATCAATATTTAATTTTCTAGATTGAAGAAAGTTCAACAAAAACATCATTAATTTTTTCACTTCAAGAAGAAGTTGGCGCTTTAGCAAGAGCACTTCATGTATTTGAAGTAAGAAAATTTTTCTATTTGATTTCATTTTATTATCTTAATCATTCATTTAGTTATTTAAAATAATTTTCAATATTTAATTAAGGTTTGATTTCTAAAAACACTTTTTTCTTCATTGCTATCAACTAACCTAAATTAAAAAAGAAAAACTTCTCCATGTGATTTTATCTTCAATGAATTTTATTTTTTTTTAAAAGATAACAAATTTTTGATTTTTGATTTTTTTTTTGTAGAAACATGGTATAAATTTATTTCATATTGAATCTCGTATATCTCGTCAAAATAAAAATGATCATGAATTTTATGTTGAATGTGATAATAGTCTGGGTAGTTTATCTGATGCTATTAAACAATTACGTGAAGAATCGAAATATATTCATATACTTTCACGTGCTCATAAAACATTAGATGAATCTGGTTTGTTTGTTTTTTATTTTTGGAAAATTTCAACTTAAATTTTGTTATTATTTTTAGTACCATGGTTTCCAAGAAAAATGCGTGATTTAGATCAATTTGCTAATCGGGTACTTTCTTATGGATCAGAATTAGATTGTGATCATCCTGGTTTTCGTGATATACTCTATCGAAAACGTCGAAAAGAATTTGCTGATATAGCACATCAATATCGTCATAATCAACCAATACCATATGTTACATATACAGAACAAGAAATTTCAACATGGGCAACTGTATTTCGTGAATTAATACAACTTTATCCAAAACATGCATGTAAAGAATTTAATAATATTTTTCCATTACTTATTGATAATTGTGGTTATAATGAAACAAATATACCACAATTAGAAGATGTATCACAATTTCTTCAAGACTGTTCAGGTTTTCGACTTCGACCAGTTGCTGGTTTGTTAAATATCTCTTTTGATATTCATATATATTATATATATATGAATTTATTTAATTAAGGTCTTTTATCATCACGAGATTTTCTTGGTGGCTTAGCTTTTCGTGTATTTCATTCAACACAATATATTCGTCATCATAGTGTACCAATGTATACACCTGAACCTGATGTTTGTCATGAATTACTTGGTCATGTACCACTTTTTGCTGATCCAGATTTTGCTGAATTTAGTCAAGAAATTGGCATGGCTAGTTTAGGTGCACCAGATGAATATATAACTCGTTTAGGTATGAAAAGATTATCTCTATTTATTTGATTAGTTTTTGTAACAATTAATATCATGTAATAAATATCTGTTGAAGTCTTTTGAGCTGCTACTTCCAGAGATGGAACCGGTCAGACTCGGACCGAACACGTTGGTCGGTCTGAAATTCGTACCGGTTCGGACGGTAATTGGTACCCTTTCCGTCTTTGACTGCTTCTGAAAGGTACGATTTTTGTTATTTGTTTTTTGAAATGAAAATTTCGCATGTTGTAAAATAGAGAAGAATGGAAATAATGAAATAATGATTTTTCTTTTTTATATTTAGTATAAAAACTGCTTAGAGTTATTTGATTGATTTTTCAGATAAGCCTTAAAAAATACGAGTTTAATTTTTTTTTCTTTCTGTTGTTTAATCATAATACACTGATAGTTACTTCCATTTTGAAGATTTATTCAACTAAAAAAAAAATATTCTATGTAATTTCTATTATTTATTCTTCTAGCAACATTATATTGGTTTACTGTTGAATTTGGTTTATGTATGGAAAATGGTAATCGAAAAGCTTATGGAGCTGGTCTTCTATCATCATTTGGTGAATTACAAGTAAAACTATTACTTTTTTTTAGTTTAATTTCATATTTTTTGTTTTTTTGTAAAAGTATTGTGTCTCGGATAAACCATCAATTATGCCGTTTGATCCATTTCGTGCTTCAATTCAACCATATCCAATAACAAGTTATCAACCTACATATTTCTTAGCTGAAAGTTTTAAAGATGCAAAAGAAAAATTACGGTATGATTAATAGAAAAAGTTTAAAAAAAAAACAAAAATCATATCTATTTGAATTTTTTGTATTTTAGACAATATGCATTGACAATTCCACGTCCATTTAGTGTACTTTATAATCCATATACACAAGCAATTGAAGTTATTAATGGTAAAGATCAAATTGTGAATATGGTTCGAACACTAAGAAGTAAGAAAAAGTTATTCGAAATGCTTTTTTTTTTGTAAATTTCGATTATTCTTTTTTTTTAAAGATGATATGGATGTTGTTCTTGATGCTCTTCGAAAAACAGAACTGAAAATACATTAAAAATGACTTAACCTTTTGATTGTCTTTTTGTTTTTGTTTTTTTTTGTTTTTTGTGCAATAGTTTATACTCGGTATTAATTTATAAGTTTTATTGGTGATAGATTATATTATTAATATGGAGATGGGATTTAATATAATTTTCTTTTAGATTGTTTTTTTTTTGTTTACATATATATTCTAAAAAAAAAGACATGAAACAGTTATTTACTATCAGTGGACGATATGCTGCCACTGAAGATGTATCGATTACACCACAGGTGGGTTATAATAAATTAAGAAATAAATATGTGTACTCTTGAAATAGCAAATTTATCTATTTTTTTTTCTTTCGCAAATAGCTTTTTTTCTTCTTGTTTTCTCTTCTTTGATCGTAAATATATATATATATATATAATATGGTTGACTAATACTAACATTGGCAAAATGCAATGCTTTTTAATCATACAATTACTATATCGGAGGTGAGATGATGCTCTAATTGCAAATGCTCGATTGATAAAAATGATTTTCTTTTTTTTTTTGATTGTGCTAATATGTTTTAATTTTATTTGCAAAAACAATTTTATTTGTGAATGTATGTCTGTATTGTTTTATAGGAGTACGGTTTATCATGGAATACACGTTTAAAAGGTTTTGGCATATGTTTACTTATTGCTTTGATTCTTGGCATTGTTGTAAGTTATTATCAATAATGAGAAGATCTTGAATTCATTATCGAAAATTTCATACGATTTTCAGTTGATTATTGTTTATATATTGATGATTTGTTGTCACTACTAGCAAATATCGGACAGTCTATCGGCGGTTTTTGTCTAGTTTGAATCATATGGAGATAGAATAAAATGCTTGCTAGTACAAAAGAATAGAAATTCGATGTTAATGATTTTCAAGAAAATGTTCAATTGATATTTTTCGAAATGATGTATAGATTGATTTTGATATATTCTAGGCGATTATTATCTATTTTCTTGGTGGTAATATTGCTGGTTTTGCTGTTCTTTATAGTTTTGCAGTTATTCTTGGTCTTGCATCGTAAGTTTATGAGAATAATTTTTATTTTTATTAGTTTTCCTTTAGTACATTTTTTTTAATGGGACCAATGAATCAATTAAGAAAAATGTTTGATCCTTCTCGATGTATTGCTACTATTGTTTTTCTTGTAAATTTTTATTTTTTCAAATACATCTGTAAAAAAAAACAAACAATGTCCTATTGTCGTTTATAGGTATGCATTGTTATGACACTTGTATCAGCTATTGCTGTAAGTTAAAAAGATAGAAAAAGAATAAATTCATTATTATTTATTGAATTTTCTTTAGATAAAAATTGCTGTTCTTGTTCTTTTATTTATTATTCTACAATTTCTTGCTCTAGTAAATAGAATTCAAAATAATTTAAATATTAATTATTATTATTATTTTTATTTTAGCTGTGGTATACACTTAGTTACATTCCATTTGCACGGTAAATCATATTTTGTTTTTTTTTTCCATAATGTATTGATTGATAATTTTTTTTATTTATTTAGCAATACAATCAAAAGTTGTTGTCGAGGAATAATGAGTGCTTAAAATAATTGCACTCTTTTTTTTTTATATGTGATTATACTGATTTTATTTTTTTTGCATAAACATAATACAATAATGGTTCAGCTTTTGCTTTTTTTTTTATATAATATATTCAAATTTATTTATTTATTTATTTATTTATTTATTTAAAGATTATTTTTATTTAATGACGATTAATTTATATTACAATGTCATTTTCTGGAACAAAAAAGAGCCCATTAATTTCTGTACCATTCCTTAAAGTAAATTAATAGATGAATATATTTCAATAATCGATATTTCTTTATTATAGAAACGATTGCGACGTATAACTGCTTTAGGTTTTCATAATTTAACAGTAAATGAATTTTATTTTACTATTCATTTTACATTACATCGAAATGAAAATACTATTGGTAAAAGAAAAAGAATTTTTAAATAGAAAAAAAAATGTTTCTTTTTTTTTGTTGTATAGCTTTTTATACAAGTGAATCAATTGTGAATCAACGTGTAAGTTTCATGAGAAAAGTTTATTTAAGAGAATTTTTTTTTGAAATTTTCAGAGTCCAGAATGGTCTTATTTAAATTTTCCAACTAATGTGCAATGTTTACAAGGTAAATTGATTTAATAACAATGCGGAATATGAAAAAATATTTCGTTGACAAGAATTTTTTTTTGTTTAAGTAGAAATTCGAATTCTCGAGATTAGAAATTTTGAATTTGTTTTACTCAAATTCTTCATTGTAAAAAAGACGATATTAAATACTTCTTCTCGTCCCTTCACAAATGAATTTACCATTTGTGAGGGAACTATCCGAACTGATACTCACTATTTGAACTCTTATTGAATTTACAAGAAGTCTCGATAAGACAAGAGAAATTCTAAAACTATGCATCTCTGCAGTCGAGTTATGACCATTTTATTGAACTTTCGATCGAGCTTTAGGTATTTACTGAACATTAAATAACGGTACTTCAATCTGAAATTTCGTCCATATACAACGGATCAGATGACTAGAGTTGACTATCTTGAAAGTTTCAGCCGAGAAGAATGATCCTTTGTCAAGATACTGAATTTTTAGAGAATGGTCGTTTGCCGTAAAATCGACTTTACTTGTCAATTCAATATTATGACAAATGAACATTCTTTCCAACTGAAGCTTTCAGGATATTCTACTAATCACTCGACTTGTTTATGGGCGAAATTCCAGATTGAAATACCGTTACATAATTTCTCAGTAAATACCTAAAGCTCGTTCGAATGTTCAATAAATGGTCATAACTCGACTCTCGATGCCCATATGAGCACGAACTCTTTTAGAATTTTTCTAGTCTCACCAAGATCTTCTTATGAACCCAACATGAGCTAGAACGGCGAATATCAGTTCTAGTGGTTCCCTTGTTAGAACGGCTCGTTTAGACAGAATTTTTCAAGAATGAGAGTTGTCCTAGTGATAAACATTTTATACTAAATGGAACTTTGAACTTATTTATAACCCATCTATTACCTTCAGAAGAATTCTAAGATTCTCTCGCGATAAAAGATGCACAGTTCAGAGTAGCTTGAAATAAAAGTCAATACTTGTACGTAGTTTTTCTCTGAATAGAATTTCAAAATTTGTCTCCATATAATTTTTCTGAGCATCAAGTAAAAGAAATCCGATCGAACAAAAGTTTATTCTCATTGAAAATTTGTAAACAAAACAAAGATTGTTTGTATACCAAACCATCAAGGAGAAGTTTTAATTTTTCTAATTGAAAACTAATTATATTTTGAGAAAAAAAAAGGTAAATCAGTTAGGAAATTGGTTATTCCATTCAAATCCTTTAGACTTCTGTGCAAGATATGTGAATTATATATTCAAGGCGCTTAATGATTATAAAAAAATCAGTCTTTCAAAAACTCAAAACAGATGCAAAAATTTCTCGAAAAAACATAATCGGAGATTCCAAGTTTCTTCCAATAAGTCTATTGAAACATAATCGTTTTACTACAAGTCATATATATTCTGAACGAGAAGACTTCAGTCCATTTTTCTATGATAAAAATTTTATTTCCAAATAAAACATATTGATCTAGATTTGTTCAAATAATTGAATTTATTTAGACTTTTTCATGCGTGTATGGATAACATCTTCAAATCATTCTCATTTATTTCTTGAATATGATATTCATCTTGATGATTCACTTATTCCTGATGAACAGGTAAAATAAAATATTTATTATAATTATATCAATTTAAATTTATATAAATATTTCTGCTTTTTGTTCTATTTAAGAAAAATGAAGTTAATAAAGATAATAATAGTCTTTGGCTTGAAATGTTTGGTTATCGATTTACTGATACTAATGAAGAAAATAATATTCAAGAGAATGATACAAAAATCTTATTAATAGATAAGAAAAAACGTATTTCATTTACTAAATCATATAATAAATTAAGTATAATACGGTTAGTTTAATATGAATTGATCATGCTCATATTGAATAAATTTTAAATTTAGTATGAATAATATTATTCATGCAATTCGTACTGAAAAACAAGCATCATTAGTATATCTACAACGATTACAAACATTTTTCGATGCAAATAAAGATTATTTATCAAAAGTATAAAAATATATTTTTTCTTTGTTTGTTTGTTTTTATATTTAAATAATTTCTTTTTTTTTTTATTTAATAAAAGATAAAAGAACGTGAATCACGTCAATTACATATTGAAAATTTAAAAAAATATTTACACTTTCAAACATATTTATATCAACAACGTTTAAATGTTTATCAACAAAAACAAAAAAATATTGAAGACAGAAGTAAATTAATTTTATTTATCAATTGTTTTTTTGTTTTTGTTTTATTATTTATTTTCTTTTTCAAAGAAAATCAATTAAATCAAAATTTATCACAATTAATTATTCAACAAGAAGTTATTCATTTATATCATAATAATTTAAATCAATCAAGGTATAATACATATAAATATTTTAATTATTAATTAAATAATTTTTTTTTCTATTTTAAAGAGCTATTCTTCATAAATTAATACAAATAATCTCTTATCGACAAAAAAAAATCATGAATGAAATCTATCATTATATTTATCCAATTGATAATAATAATCAAAATGAATATTATATAGCAAATATTAAATTACCACAAGCAGATGATAAAATCTATCAATCAACATTATGTTTGTAGTTTTATTTTTTATTTTTTATTATATTTATATCTATATATCTATATATTAGTTCGAGAACATGATCATGAAATAGCAGCAGCTGTTGGATATTGTTCACATTTAATTCTTATTATTTCACAACTTATTCAATTACCATTGAGATTTCCTATTGATTATTATGGAACATCAGTAATTAAAATATATGATTATAGTTTAGAAATGAATGAGTAAGAAATTTTATTTTTATTCATTCTATTCGATATAATATAGTGTATAGATTTGAATTTTATTTTTGAAAAATAATAGCAATATTTGGAATAGCAGGTATTGCATCACTCAATGTTCGATCCCTCAGGATAAAAAAAATAAATGTCGATAAGTATTTTGTCTATTGTAGTCATAAATTCAACGTTTTCGCGTAAGAAATTTTTTTTCAAACAATCATTTAGAGCAGCAGCATGAGTACAAGTAGAAAATCCTTCTGATTCTTTAGAAACTTATAAGAATAAAATTTTATGAGAATAAAAACATATATATGATAATAAACAATGAAAATTCGCTGATTCTTCCTTGATCTCATAGATATGTCATAGAAATGGTAGTACGAATAGGAATCCATCGTAGATAGGACTCGACTTGACATGATTCTATCGTTTTAATAGTTGAAACTTGTTTATATTGCTATTTATATTATTTTTGCAGTCTATACCATGATAATAAGTCAAAGATAGGATCGATTCGTGTTTTCCGGGGAACTAAATCGATCCTATCTCTGCCATCAATAGATAGAAGTGATGTAATTATGCTTTGGTACAGATATATATTTTATATCTATCGGCGGTACCTCGCTTCTAAAATTTTAATAACCTGAATTTTCTAGAGTTTATATTTGTTCTGCAATATATCTTTGTGTTCGCTCTGAACTGAAATCTTGTAACAGTTTTCTTTAAGATTGCCATTCGTCTCCAAAAATATAGATTTAAAAAAAGAGGCAAATATATATGGGCTTGACTCCTAAAATGTCTGATTTAAAATTCATCAAAATGATGTCCAATTTTAAAAAATCTTTTCAAAATTAGCGATGTAAGTTGTCGCCGTCGCAGCCACTAAATCATAGATAATTTTAAGAATTTTTCAGCAGCTGCCGCTGACACTCATACATATGCAATCGAACATTTTTCCGTTATTTTTGATCAGTGGAAATTCTCAAAAAGTTGAAAATTTTTGCCCAACACTGCCGTTCGATCCTTAGGCTTACACCTCTATTTAGAATTCATAATGACTGTCTAGATCTCTCTAGTAAAAAAAGCTAATGCCGAAATTCATAGGAAAATTATAAGCGTAATTGAAGTCATTGTCGTTCATTTTGACTCATACGTGAATCTGAAACGCCACTCGATAAGACTCTCGGTAAATTTTTAACTAGTATATTATATAATCATATTTGATACTGATATCAGAAAATTCTTCAGGTAAATATACGAACAACAAAAAAAAACGTTCACACGTTTTACTCAAAACTGATTTCTGCATGAATTGTGAAATTTCGAACAAATTTTATTTTCGTATAGTTCGTTTGGGTGAAGTGTGATGTTTTTTTTTTATTCGATAGATAGATGCATCCTCTTTCAGATAAGGGAGAAAAGGACTTTATATTTAACCCTCAGTATGGAAACAACTAGAAGGTTTCTAGAAAATCTTTTGTAGAATTTTCGGAGTTTTAGGAGCTTTGAAAATGAAATAAAATTAAAATTCCTTTCCTTCCATCGGACGCAATAAGAAGTTTTCTTTCAATAATAATAACCCGACTAGTATAAGTTGAAGTCTATGGAAAAAATATTTGCATGTATGAAAGTCCTATTTTGCACCTTGAAAAAAAGTACCATTTATTTACATTAAGATTGTCATTAAAAATTTTTCTTTCATAGATATCCTCTGTATCCGACAAGTAATCTAAGTGCTTTTCGATATGGTTTCTATTTATTAAATCGAAATATTGGTCAAGTAAGTTTATTGTTCAAAAACAAAAAAAAAAAATATTCTATAAACAATAAATAATTCTATTCTTTAAGATGATGTATCACTGTCGAATAGCTGATCGTAATACAGATATTCGTAATACATTAGAAAATATAAAAGAATTAATTGAACAATATTTTATTAATTCAACTAATAATAATAAGCAGTAAGTGATTATATCTTAAACTAAATCATATTTGATAGCATTTATTATCAATTCATACAGTTATCAAAATGATTTAAGTTTATGTGTAAGTTTTATTTAAATCATCTAACACAATTAATATTTCGCACTCGTATTTTTCTCTGTAACACAATAATTTTTGTTTTTTTTTTTTGGTGAAGGAACCGAAAAAAATAAAAATTTATTATTCACTTTTTTTAGAATTCAATTTTATCCTTCACTTCAAACGATGCAATCAATTACTAATAATGATGAAGATTTTATTTGTAATAAAGAAAATTCGAATGTTTCATCATTATCTGCGTCACCTTTTTCGTCAACATTATCTCTTATTGAAAATAATGATGATGATGATGATGGTGATCAAAATGAAGATATGGAATTATTTCCACAATTAAAAACAAATCAACCTCGATTAGCCATGCAGATTTCACATCAATATTAACATTAATTTTTTTTTCGTTGTTTTTTTTTAAATGTGATATTTAATTCGTATATGAACGAACAATGTTATGATGGTTTTTTTTTGCTTTTACTTTTATTTACTTATTTATTTTTTTCGTGTTATTTAGTATTTTAATTATAATTTTAATGAACAGATAAATGTAATTCTATTTATTTAAGATTTTTCAAAAAAAAAGAACAAGATGAGTTTGGATACACAAAAAATTGACAGTAGTCAACGACAACAAATAATGGCTTCAGTACAACAACAATTAGCTCTTCAAAATGCTCAAGAACTTCTTCAAGTAAAATTTTGATAAGAAAAGAAAAAAATGATTTTAATTTGAATTGTCTTTTTTTTTTAATTAAGAAATTATCTGATAAATGTTTCAAAGCTTGTGTTCAAAAACCTAGTAGTTCTTTATCAAGTTCGGAACAGGTTTGAATTGATTAGTTGTTTTTTTTTTGTTGTGTCATCATCATTTTGTTTTAGAAATGTATAACACAATGTTCAGATCGTTATATGGATGCATGGAATATTGTTTCAAGAACTTATGCTAATAGAATTAAACGTGAACAGCAGAAATATTGAATTTCTTTTTTTGTTTTTGAAGTTCTATTGTTATTAGAAGATTTTCATTATTATCCTGGCTTTATTTGTTATATTTGTATCTGCATTGTTTGTTTTTTTTCAATAGAAGATAACTAGATCTTTGCCTTTATTAGGTTTTATTTAGTTTTTTTCATATGTTCTAGATAATTGTTGCAACTTCTTACCAAACTCTTCATTATTGATATCAGCGATGGAACATGTAGAAATAGAATGTTTTATTCATCTAATTCAATCATTTATTGCAAATATGTTAATATATTAAAATATAAGCGAACAAATGTAAAGTTTAGATTGATGTTGAGTATCTGAACGTGCAATAAATCCGAAATAAATTAAGAGTTTAGCACCGAATCCTTCGTATTTGTTTAGATTGGCTATTTAGATCTCAATTTGAATAAATCTAAATAAATAATTTAAGAATAGACTCTTTTGAATGGAGCTTTCTTCCAAAGTTGTGGCATTTATCATGGGGTAGTATAAATTGATTTAGAAAAAAACATAAACTGGTGGTAGATAATCTCAAAGAGAGTCAAATGAGAATCTTTTCGCTGATAGACACATCTCTTGTTAAAGCATAGTTATATTCGATGGTCACTTGAAAGCCCGAACTAAAACAATGAATAGATGTCCAAATTTGATTAGCAGAAATTTAGACTCTGAAATCTGTTGTTCCTCTCTTGAAAGCATTTTTCCTTGTGTTCAGAAGATAATATAAACTATGACGCGAAAGTCTTCGCACAAAATATTCATTTATTTTTCAATCACTTAAAGACAATTTCTTAGAGTCAGACGCAATTCGGATCACTCTCTCCGAATATGTGTTTAAAATTTTTTTCTGCAGTAAGATAAGACAACTGTCATCAAATTATTTCAAAATAATCATTGTGCAGAATACTATTTTGCTCAATTTTATATTTTGATTGAAACCACTCAAATTCGAGGTGCTATTTGAATATACAAAAGATGCGCACGGATCATTTCCGCACGAGATGTGAATGAACGCAAGCCGCACACTCATACTTCCGCATCCACACCCGCACCATAATCTGAACCTGATTGATTAATCTTTTGTGGAAAGAACCTATCGGGTCCAAAAATTTCTCGACCCGAGCCTGGCCCACTCAAAATTTTTGGATCCGGATCCGATCGGGTGGGATCCGCTGGGCTCTACCCCCCCCCCCCTACACACACTAATTCTAACTGTAAGCAGTTGTTCGTTTAAAGGCTGAAAAATGAGCGAATATATTTTGTGTCAAGTTTTTAGCGCTATAGATTATTTAATATTCAATTTCAGATTTTTCAAAATCATGCCTACAGCACAAAAGAAAAAATCCAAATATATTAATGTGTTTAGTAATGCAGGCAAAGAACGTATGACCGTTCGATTGCCAGGTATTAATATATATTATTATTATTATAACTTAAATCTATCATTAAGTTTATCTTCAGGTCGTAGTACATGTGAATGTCAAGCATCAAAACATAAACTTATTAGTAATTGTCTTAAATGTGGACGAATTGTATGTGAACAAGAAGGATCTGGTCCATGTTTTTTCTGTGGTAATTTAGTAAGTAGAGATAGGAAAAAATAACCTTCTTAAAACATTAAACATCTCTTCTACGTATTTAGGTTTGTACCCGTGATGAAAGACAATTGATTATATCAGGTACACGAGAAGGCAAACAACTTGAACAACAATTATTATCAAAACAATGTCGTGAACATGAATCACAGAATATATCAAATAGAACTGATGAATCATCACAATTTTCATTAAATGATATTGCAGAAGCTGTAGCATTTAAAAATAAACTTATTGAATTTGATCGAACAAGGTTCTTTTTTAAAATAATGTTTTAAAAAAATTTTGTTTTTGATCAAAAAATTTTTATTTTAGTGCACAAAGAACACAAGTTATTGATGATGCTGCTGATTATTTTGATAGTGATAATAAATGGCTTAGTAAACAACAACGAATTAAACTTGAAAAACTTCAAGCACAAATGAACGAAAAAAAAAACCCAAAAAATCAAAAGATTAGTATTGATTTTGCTGGAAGACGAGTTTATAATGAAACTGAACAACCCGGTGATCGATTGTAAGTTTTATCTTAATGTTAAAAACATATGATTAGTTCTTATTTCAATTCTACATCTTCTTAAATACGACTTAATCTATGAAGATTAATTTATTAGATAATATGTAGACATGCACTGAATTCGAACCTTAGGATGTTTCCATGATTTTCCATATACCTCAAGAAATGCTTAGGCAATCACCCAACACTTTCTCAACCAGTTGGATAGTTCCCAAACCAAAGCTCGAGTTCAATGCATGCCTAATAATATTCATAATGCAAACGAGACTGACACCGAAAAAGTATATTTAATATAAAGCAGAAATTAGACAAATTGTTATTAACCAGAAAGACTATGGTAACGAACTAAAGTGTTTTTGGAGAATTTGGAAAGAGATTTTTAAAATTTTAAAAGTCCAGAAAAGTCGGACATATTTTGATGTAGGTATACTAAGTTCCAATTTTATGAGAAATTAATTAATTAAGGAGAGTCTTCTATTGGGTTTAGTCAGTACTGGCATACAACATATCATAGAGCGTTCGCATTTTTGATAACTCATGCGAACTTCATTCGAGTAAACATTTTGTTAGAATTTATTACATAATCGATAGTCCTCTTCAATGAATAAAACTTTACAATTTATATTGAATTTTTCTTTTCGTGATAAAACATAGAATTCGATTAAGAACAAATAAATAATATTAATAATAAATAAATTTAGTTATAATGAAGCACGAGCTGTTCATGATAATGATCAATATGAATTAGAAAGTGATCGTATTCAACAAGAATCAATACCTAATTGGGATGATGATGATAATGATCTATTAAATCCTAATTTACCTGAAACTATGTTAGCTCCTCAAGTTCGTTGTTATATTTATAAATCAAAATAAAATATTTTATTAAAATAAAATTTTAGTGGGTGGAACAGAAAACTAATACGCAATCAACATTAACAACCAATTTATCACAAATGACTATTGAAGATAATGATCGTGAACGTTTACGTATTCAAGATAAAGAATTAATGCAAATGACCGATGATGGAATGTGTCTTACGATGCATCAACCATGGGCTTCATTATTGGTTCGCGGAATTAAAATGTAAATTTATTTCATTAACTTTTTACCTTCGATAGCGATTCATGAAGAATTGCTAATAAAATAATCTTATAAAAAGAATATTGATAAATCTAATATCATATAACAAGTTTCAAATATTTCTATTTCGTAAAGATAGAGAATATTTTATTTAAAAAATTATTGATTTTTCAAAACTCGATAGGTAGTTCGAAGTGAAAGCAGTGGAATGAAATGTTCTTTTCTTTTGCCAATCAATAGCTGATGAAGTTAACTCCAAAACATGTTTTTGAAACTTTAGAATACTACATAATACTTAATGTATGTGTGCCAAAATTAAAGAGACATGAGTGTAAGCTCAATAGCTCGACAACGGCAACAGCTAGTGTGTTGAAGTTTTCAATAATAATCGAAATAGGAAGACTCTGAACGATTTTTTCTCTGATACGATGTATAAGAAAATTGTTTTAAAACCTATCATTTTCGCAAAAACATGCATGACAATACTGTTTCATTCCGATGTAATTCTTATATTGACATGTGCTTCAGACCTATAGTTCAAGAAAAGAATCAAATGATTATTTTCTCATATCTTAATGTTGAATAAATAAAATTAGTCAAATTATATAGAATTCTGCTGATTTTTAGTAAAATTTTCTTGCAATAAAACATCGTTTTCATTCAATTTTTTGAGAAATACGTTCGTAGTTCTCGTCATTCGACTGCTGAAAGTATCAGATCGCTAGTTATTGTCATTGTCCAGTTATTGAGATTACTTTCACTTAGAATTCTCGCGCGGACATATCGATTTACAAATGATCACTTCATTGACCAGTAGTGGATTAACGATTAAAATAAAGTTTTTATTTTGTATGTATTTTAGGCATGAAGGTCGATCTTGGTATACTTCACATCGTGGACGTTTATGGATACATGCAGCAGCAAAAGAACCTGATCAAGAAACTATTTTACATATGGAAGAATTTTACAAAGCACGAAATAATGATAATGAAATTGATTTTCCAACGGAATATCCAACATCAGTTTTACTTGGATGTGTTGATATTATTGATTGTTTAGATCGTAATACATATCTTGAACAATATCCTGATGGTGAATCTGATAGTGAATTTGTTTTCATATGTGAAAATCCACAAGAACTTTTTTTTAAATTACCAATGCCAGGACAACATAAAATTTGTAAGTAAAAAAAAATTATTAAGTTTTTTTTTTTTTTGTTTTGGAATTGAAATTCATTTTTTTCTTAGATAAAATGGAAAAACATGCACATCAAGCAGCCAAGAAAATTCTTTTACGAAGAATACAATAAAATATTTTAAATTGTTTCTTGTTTTTTGTTTTTATTCTTTATTAAAATAAAAAGAAATAACATATTTTATTAACAATTAATTCAATTGATTTAAATATTATTTCAAAAGAATCAATTTAGAAGATATAATGAAATAGCTTGTTATAAATCAATCAAAATATAGAAAATTTTTTATTGATATTTTTTCTCTCAGAGTTTCTATGATCTCTCTTGATTACGTGACAGATCGACTTTCGACTTTGCATGAACAAAGTTCTTAATGAGATTAGTTGATTGTGCAAGTTTTAATAACTTTTACAGTATCTCCTATTGAATATTTGAAATTTTCTGATGTGTAAAAAACAAATTTTGTTCATATATGTATATCTTCAGAAAAAAAAATATCAAAAAAGTTACAACTTGCCTAATGAACTAATTGTCACGTGCATATACGATCGTTTCAGGGTGTGAAGTTTGTAATAGAATCAAGATCAATTCATTTTGCTTTCGTTATATTAGGAACTATCTATTTAAATGAATATATTAATTTACAAATGATCTTCATCATAATAAAAGAACGATGGTTGATTCTAAAAGTTTCTTATTTTTACAAGAGAGTTTTGTTTGTAAATATTTTTCTTTTTTTTGTTTAAATACTAAGAAATAAAAAATCGATCATAGAGAAAAGTTAAAATAATAAAACTACAACAACTAATTGTTGAATAAAAAACAATATTTGAACGAAATAATGGTTCTGAAATAGTATTAAATAAGATTAATAATGATCGATTATTTGTTATCATATTAGATTTTGAACTTTCAATTTGTTTTTCATTAAAACATTCTTGATCATTATCAATATTAATTTGTTTATTACAAATTGATTTTATTTCTATATTTGATAAATAATTTTCTTTCATTTGTTCAAGTCCAACTGGTTGTTTCATCCAATTAATAATATCAATAATACGTACAAAATAAACATCATTAAAATGATATCGTAATATATGTTCAATAAATAATTTTAATCCTTCTATTCTCCATAATGAATATGGTTCATTTAACCAATAATTATCAAATGCCATTATAAATGGTGCATGATTTGAATGTAAATGACGATTAAAATTATATTTAAGATATTGAAAAAATTTATCCTTTGTACGTGATATACGACAATGACTACTACCAATTGTTGTACAATTGTTTCCTTTTAAATCTTGATACATATGAATTGGTATTGTCCAAAGTCCAGGAAATGATTGTTTATAACAACCTTGTGAACAATCATAATTAGCTGCAAAATCCATTGTATGTGGCCATGTTAATGGTGATGGTTGTTGTTGTTGATAATATGGTACATCCCATTCTTGTGTTATTAATGTTGAATCATATAAGAATTTATGTTCACGTAAAATATGCCAATGAAGTTGGTTATTATTAATTTCATAATTAGGTGAACGATAGCCAACAATTGATGATGAATGAATACCAATTAATTTGGCAATTGTACGACGATAATCAATTGTTTCATTATAAAAACGATATGAACGCCATGGTACATATGGACTTTTATCATTTTTTTCTTTAATACGACAATCAACAGTTGGACATCTAAATTCAAATATTTATTATTTAGATTAAAAAAAAACATATAGATTTGTAAAAAAATAATTACTCGCTTGAATTTGATGTTATACTTAATTCAATATTTCCATATTGTAAAATTTTTCGAAGTAAACAATAATTTGTTTCAATATGACTTTTAAGAAAAATAGTACCACTAATAGGACAACCTAAAGAATTTTAAAATAAAAAAAAAAACATATTTTAATTTGTTAAATGAAATCAATACAAACCATCTGGATTATAATATTTATTTGAAAAAAATATTTCTTTCAATAAATTATAAGTTTTTTCATCCGTTGGTCCATTAATTGTTATTGCAATAAATTGTGGAGTATTACGTATTGTTAATCCATTTGGAATTGTTTGATTTGAACAATAACAATAAGGTAATCGACAACGATTACTATCACATGATTCAATATCAATATAAGATTTTTCATTAGACAAACAAGAATCAAGAAATAATATTAAAATAACAAACATTTTTATCCAAAATAAAGACAATTCTTCTTTTCGTATCATTCGTCACATTAAAACTGTCTATACTTTATTCAATTAGAACGATAGATATACTTCTAGAGAAAAAGAATCAGACTGGTTCATTTCATCATCAAATAAAATTTTAGTTATATTCATTTGATAAATTAGTAGAAATTCTGTCTCTTCTCTCTGATACAAAATTAAAAGAAACACTAGACATTAAGAGATGATAGAGTAAGATAGGAGATACTTGTTTATATCTATACCATTAACATCATATTTAGAATATTATGGAATTGCAAATAGGCGTCAATTTTCATTTATATGTAATTAATGGAAAGTTAGATTATTGTACATAATATTTTGTTTTTTTTTGCAAGAAATAAAATAAAAATTCTTTTTATTTAATTTAATCACTTGTCAAATGCATATTACACAGTATTATTGATCAAACTTAATCTATATTTCTCTTTTTGCTATCTGAAAGATGAAAAGTTCAATTGATAGTTTTATTCTGGAGTTTAAATCATTAATATATCGTACTACTACTTGATTGAGATTCATTTTGATATGTTCTTACAAATGAAATATATACCAATACTATATCCAGTGAAAGTTAGAACGATGAAAAGAGTCAGTATACATTCATTCTATCGATTATCAAAGTTTTCTCTGTGACAAGAACCAAGCATTTTCATAGAATATACATGCATGGTGTTTCATAAGGTTTAAGAGCACGATAAAAATAATTCATAGTCGAATGTTTTTATATAACCTTTGAGTGCCCATGTCAGTCTTTCAAATGATATATTACTGGATAATATATTCTCGTATGATAAGAAAAATAAAAACATAAGAATGTGAAGATAGATATTTTGCAATCGAAATAACATGATTTTTTTAAATAAAATTCTGAATAATTCTATATATAAAAAAATATTTGTAATGGTTGATAAAATTTTTAAGAAACTTGGCAAATTAATAAAAGAAGTCAGTTAAGAATGTTTATATACTCTATCTATCTCAATCATCTTGTTTGTTATCAAACAATAGACTAATACATGAACACTCTTTATGCATATTTGAAACCAACAAGCAAGTTGAAAATATGACACATTGAAGTAAATATAGGAAAAAAATAAAATGTTATATATTATTGTATAACAGTGGAAAAATACTTCATTTTATTGAGTTACAATCAGAATTGATAGATTTTCAAGAGTATTTGTGAACTTTATCTTGATGAATAAAAACTCATAACTCTTCTTTTACAGAAATATGGAAAAAAAGTATTGAATTAAGCTTTATAATTAATAATGTAATAGATAAACATTTTAAATGTCATAATGCCTTTCGGCATATTATGTACTTATCAATATGTATACTAAAAAGAAATCATCAAGGCATGTTGAACTAATCATGTAAGCAAACAATATGAAGATATGTACTATTTTAATATATTGTTGGACTAAATATTATAACAGTTCTAATTCTTCAATAGAAAAGAACAAGAGAACATGTAGAGAATTTATTTTTAATCGTTTTATAAACATTTCCATTGTTGTATGTACACATTCATTTAAATAATAGAAACATTCATTCATGAATGATGCACTCAGAATACAATTTCTTCTTATAGAATTCGAATGATTCCGAAAGTTTTTCATGCAATCTAATGATTGATTTCTACTTTTTGATTGTGTTGATGTTCTTTAAATACTAACGAATTTGAGAAGCATTAAATCCTACATGTAAAAATCGCTTTTCTTTGCTACACATATTTTTTTAATGTATCATAGAACGAGACTTCTTGTATCTTTAAATGAATATTTCAAGTTACGTCTTTGATCAATAGATTTCACTGTCAGAAATAAACGTTGTAATTCAAACAATAAATGAATTATCAAATAAATAAGATGATGAAACGTATTTTCGTATTTATTTATCGTTAAAGACTTGTGGATATATCAAGAAAAACATAAATATAAAAAACTGTATGATTTATTTTTACCGTAGTAGATACGGTTATTTGATAAAACAAATAAGCATGCTGAATAAATATTAAGATATAAATATAAGAAAATAATCATAAAATGAAAAAGAATGCGAAAGACTGATTAAAGACTAAAAGCTAAGGATATAATTATATAGATATAAAATATGGAATGAAAATATATACAAAGAAGTACAACTATGAGGATACCAAAACTAACGATAGAACTTAATGTAAATGTTTGTCAAGGTTGCAGACTGAATAAGTTTTGAGATTTAAGAATATAGATAGAGTGTCAGGATAAACTAATAAGATTGATATTGAAGAATGCTACATTGATGTATAGATGGTACAGATTAGATATGAAGAAACAAGTTTGTATTCAGTTTACTTGTCTTTATATGTCAACATGTGGCTCTATGGAAAAATAATTTATGATGCTTTTCAATAGATATAATATTATTTCCAAAAAATCTCTTAGAGTCTGATATAAGGAAATGTTTTAGTCTTTTGTATATATATATATATATATATATATTATTTTTACTTACTTTCTTTCTTTCAACATAAATCAGTTAAGACGCATTACCACAGGCAATGCATTAGTATTTTTTTGTCCTTATATAATTAAATCATCGAAAAAAAAAAGAGATAACTGGTGGACTTCCGACAAACAAATAAGTCTAGAAGTAAATATACCGTTTCATGTTGTCAACAGCACATGTCATCACCAAATAATTCATTATTATAAGATTTTGTTTTTGGTTATATATAAGGTTACAAAAACAAAATAGACGTTCACTTATCGGGTTTTTTTTCATTGTAGTTGCAGTTATACTATTTCTACTGCATTTAAAGTAGTATATGTTTCATGTAGATCAATGCATTTTTGCTTTATCTTATTTAATAGATATAAAATTTTTATCTTATGAAATAATTATTATTAATTCTATTTTAGAATATATAATAAAGAAATGAATTCAAATTCATCTTCTAAACGTCGTTTTCAATTTAAGAAAATTGCGAAAAGTGCCATTAAAGATGTTTTTATGGAATATGAAACACCAAAATTAGTTGTCATAAATAATCCAAAATATGCTACTTTACTTCGTATTATACAAATTATTATTCTTATTTATTCTGTACTATATTTACTTATATATGAAAAAGGTTATCAAAAAGAAGATACAGCACCTATATCAGCAGTAACACTTAAAGTAAAAGGTATCGGTTATGCTTATACACCAGACAATCAAACAATAATTATTGATGGAGCAGGTATATTGAAAAATAAAAACAAAGAATCTTATTGAGAATTGAATGATTATTTTTGTTTTAATAGATTATATTATTCCACCATCAGAAAATAATGCTATTTTTATCATGACAAATTTTATTCGAACTGATCAAATACGAACTAAATGCGCTGAAGCTACAAAAATTAAAGGAGCAGTATGTAAAAGTGATAGTGATTGTTCTAATAAACCATTTACACCAACTATGAATGGACGTTGGACAGGTCGATGTTTATTATCACCAGAAACAAATGTTCTCAATCGGATAAAAAATAATACAAAAACTCCAACTGGTTTATGTGAATATGCAGGTAGAATTTTTTCTATATTAACAAAAAAGTTTGATATCTATAAACAAAAACTAATGAGAAATTTGTTAGCATAATGTCTGCGATTTTAAAATGTGAAATAAGATATAGTTGCTGTTGTTAATCACCGTGAGATCATTTAGGAGACATATTTCTTCACCAATCTTTTTACTTAGTCTTTGAAAAATGCAATAAGAAACTGACTCATATATTATAACGAGACATTATTCATATACAGTCTTTGATCGTATATCAATAATCTCTGTTACGTGGAGAGGAGGGTTACTGCTAAGGTGTCTATGACACAGGAGAAAAAAGGGCATTGCTGAGGTGTCTGTCATGTGTGCGATAAGTCGCTAGTAAGATATCTATAAATTTCGTCTGTCATTATTTATGGTTATAGTGGAGAGAAGGAAGGGGCTACGAACTTTTATCCTACATACTTCAACATTACTTTTCGATCGCATTTCACAATATTGTTTTAGTATTATATTTTGAATGTATATCATTTAAACAATATCTAACAGAATGTTTAGTGTATGAGTATAAATAATCTAAATGATTAAATTGCCAAATATCCTTGAAATATGTAGCATGTCAAGATCAAATCTTTGAATGATAAAATTTTTAAAAGTTATGATGACATAGAGATCGGAATTTCGGTTCGCACTCAAATTTATCACTTTATAACGAACACTTCGTAGTGTTTAGTGCTATGTATTTTCATTAAAACGTACTGATCTCTACTATTTCGTTCTGCAGAGCGCAACATCATTTTGCCAAGGATTAAGTTTTAATGGAAATGCATACTGCTAATGATTACGAAGTGTTCTAACTATTTATATAAATAAGTCTTAATTATGATGATTAATGAAGTAGATTTGAGCACAGTTTGAAAGTCTGTTAGCTTTTTATACCGAAGCAAAATTCCTATGAATCTTATGTCATTCAGTTGCTATTTTGAATTACTCTAAAATTAATTAATAATGTTAGAGTTTCGAAATCTAAATGTCCGGTTTTTTATTAGAAACTGTATAAATGGTTAAATGAAATTTACAATATATTACTTAATCAAAATACTTTTTTGTTAGCCTTTGTTTCAATTGTTGAGCTTAATAGATTTCATTTGTTATGTTTGAAGAACATGAGATTTGTGTCACACAATGTCCAATCGTGAAGGTCAATTATGATGCAAACATGAAGAGTCTTTGTCCTTAAATAACATGACGATGTTATGCTTTCTTTTTTTTATCGATCAAATGACTATAAATAGCAAATGTTTATTCATCAAAATCTACTATATAAATAAAAGATCGTTAATTGAGTTATTTTTAAAAGCTTTTTCATTAGCTCTGTTTTTTTACTAGTAAAACAATTTTTATAGGTTGGTGTCCACCAGAAGATGATCAAACATCGACAATGATTGTTCAAGAAGTTCGTAATTTTACAATATTTATGAAAAACTTTATTGAATTTCCAACATTCGAAGTTAAACATAAAAATATGGTTGATGAATTAACTAAACCATGTATTTTTCATCCAAAAACTAATAAAGATTGTCCAATATTTACTATTGATCATATAATAAATGAAGCTGAAAAAAATTTAAGTGAACATAGTTTAATGTTACATTATGGTTGTGTTATACGTATGAAAGTTGATTGGGATTGTAATTTAGATCGAAAAATAAAATTATGTAAACCTGAATATTCATTTGCTCGTCTTGATATACCTTTTTATGAGAATCCATTTTCACCTGGTTTTAATTTTCGTTATGCTACTTCTTGGAAACAAAATCAAACATATGTTCGTGCATTAACTAAAGCTTATGGTCTTCGTTTAATAATTGCTATTACTGGTAAAGCTGGAAAATTTGATTTTATTACATTAACTTTAAATATTGGTTCATTAGTTGGAATATTTGGTTTAGCAACATTTATATGTGATATTGCTATACTTCATTTATCAAAAAAAGCACATACTTATCGGAAACATATCTTTGACACTGTTCAATTGTCAGCACGTCCTGATACTATACTAGAATTGGCAAAAAGACATATGAGAAGAGCTAGTAGATTTCCAGTTCCCCCTTCAACTATAGCAGAAGAATCATCAGCTGAAACACCTGATGATATGCTAACATCTCCAGAACAAGCCGTTACGATGGATCCAGATAATGCTATGAATTCGGATCAATAAAAGTATTAACAAACAATTTCTATTAAGTATTTTATATTATAGATAGTAACGGTTTTGTTTTTGTAGTAGAACTGTGTTGTGATTTTGATTCTTCTTTTTTTTTTATCTTTGCCATATTTAAAGATGTATGGGTATTGCTGATATATTTCTGAAGAGTAGTAGTATCATTCAAGAAAAATTATACTCAATTTACATCAACCCTAAGTTTTGTATTAGTAAAAATATTCAAAAAACGAATTTTTCTCTATCAGGATTAGAAAAAAAATAGCAGTTACTCACACATTTACATACTGTGTGTTCTTTTTTGTTGTACGCTATTCAAATGCGGGAAAATTTATTTCTTGCATACATATAGGAGACAATAGTACCATAATATCATGCTCGAATTAGAACGACAGAAGTTTAGAAATTTTATGTTTTATCGATATATGTCACAAGGAATCGCATGTATGGAAGATTAACATGAAACAAGTCACTGTAGCTTGTAATGACTTACTGAAGATCAGTGCAGTCTGAAAAGTTTTAATTAAATTTTTGTTTTTTTTTAACACGAGAAAAATGGATGATGGTAGAGAGTGAGAAAGATTGATTGTTATTTTTAAACTGTAACTATATTCTTGACATATAATGAATAATGATCAGATTAATTCACTTGTGATACTTTGATATTTTTGACATAGATTTTCATTAAAATATCTTCCATATTTAAAAAAATATGAATATTAAAGGTAAAAAAGAAGCTTGATAAAATTTTTTCAATATTTTTACTTATATAGCATTTTCTTTGGGTTGATGTAAATTGAGTACAATTTCTATTGGATGATAGTTTAAATGCTACTCTTTAAAAAATATATCATCAATACCCATTCAAATTTAAATACGGCAATGATAAAAACGAACAGAAATGGGGTCGATACTTATGGAACATCGTTTATATATTTTTTTTAAATGAATCAGTATGTAACCTATTGAAGTCGAAATGACTTTTTAACCGAAAATGCATTTTTCAAACAATTCACGTCAACAATTGCATTAACTTACTCAATCTTCAAAAACGAAATCGGAGTGCAACACAATCATTTTTCTACTGTAGCTCTCATCATTGCCTTTATTATGTAGTTGATGAAGAAGCGGAACAAGGTCTATTGTGAAAAAAATTTAAAAGGTTATCAATCCACAAGGACAATAACTTTGTTTCGCTAAGATCATGACAATCCAAATTTAACTGCCGTATAATGTATCTGTTGTCTTCTGCAGGCTTCATATTCCTTGCTACATATTTAATTAATCTCTTTATCTGTATAGTTATCTTGTTTGATTTAGTAGTTTACATAATTTATATTCGCTCATCAGTTGATAAAAGCATCATCTTGTTTGTAACTAATCAGTCAATAGCCCAGTGACACAATATAATATCAAATATAATACTGTCCTACGAAATCGCACTTGTGCAAATAAACAAGTAGGCAGGGATTCACAACATTCTGTATAGCAAGAGAACGAGTCATTTGCCTTATCATTATTCGATGTAATCAATGTGCTATCCTAATTCATGGACTGTTGAAATTTCGCTTGGTTTTCTAATTATCAATCATATATTTTTATCATGTCTGCCAACTAATTTTCATAGCATAGGAGTGAAAAACAAGTTGAGAAATAAGCTTTGTAAAAAAAATTTCAAAACAATTGGCAAAAATTGAAATATGATAACAAATTTTAAAAAAAACGTATAAAACGAGTGATATTATCCTGCGGTATATTCAACGTGGTTTTCGTTATGAATCACTCAGAATGTATTCACAAACGATGGATTTCAATAAAGCTTCTCTATTTCGACTTTAATTTCAAGATCTCCATCAAATATTAACAATAGAATACATAAGAAATTGATGTCATCGTTCTTGATCGTCTTCTATCCTAGTATAGAGAGGGATTCGGACGTCTCAGCGAGAATAAACAACCTTTGAATGCAGCGTTGATATGTTGATTATGCCTCAATGATTCTAATCAAGAAGTTGTGACAGAACGGTAGCTCTTATTTACGCTAGTACTGATAGTCCTTGTGAATGAAACAAATTATAGGTTTTAGTCGACATTGAAATAAATTCACTACATGTGAATTCAGTAGTTTCACCTGATGTTGCTTCATGCAACTGATTTCTTGATGAACAGGAAAGTCTAAAGCATCGCAAAAAGGTCTATCAGATATATTTCATCAGTATTAGACAAACGGTTACGCATCACTGACACCAAATTCTTGGCTGTACATCGGCTACAACACCTTGTTTAATGCTGTCAAGAGTTTTTTCGTGACAATACAACATCACTGATTGTAGGTTCTGCTAAACGCACACTTTGTAACATCGCTTTGAATGATTCTTTACCATACTGAAGATATTACTTGACAAATACCCACATTTATGTCTTAATGACTGCTGCCCATATGAACCATATGGATACAAGTAATAGAGACCCAAACTGAGTCGAACGGAAGATGACATAACCTCTTCAGTTGATTATCGAACTAATTATTCACTGTCAAATCTTAGAACGTTCATCCTACTTAAGTAACATGAGACTTAGATCCTTGATCTTATCAGGTCTTAGAAACAATTATTAATTTTGTAAAGAGTTTCACTTCGAAATCATTGTCACGAGTATGATTGTCTTTGCTGGAAAACTCTTCTTAATAAATGACATAAATTGTATTTTATGACGGTATAGTTTTTGGTAAGAACCGACACACAATAACAAAATTTCTATCATTCAAAGCTTTTTGTTTCGATGATTAATCTCAGTTGTATAAGCGTAATTGTGTTTTCAAAACTTAAAACTTGAATTTGGATAATTTTAATTAATTGTGATTTCTGAAAAGAGATGAATAGTCATTAGTGAGAATGTCTTTCCTGTTAAAAGTTACGAAAAAAAAAAATGAAGACCATTTCCTTCTTCAAAATGATGGAGGGTAAAACCGAGTGTTTTTTCATTTTTATAAGATGTACTTCAATAGAAAAGATTTCTTACAACATGAATACCCAAAAATAGATCAGAAACACTGTCGACCAAATCTAAATTTGCTCTCTAGTGTTCATTAACTTGGAACATTCTCTGTTCACTCCTCTTCTTTTCATGTACCTTGTCCATTGTTAAATTCCGATGTGTTCCTGTTCTTTTAAATTTCAGCTGCTTTGCTACGATAATATTAACTGAACTGTATTGAATATGTAGAGAAAAGAGCTAGATATTCATTTTTATTTTAAACATATGCCGCCTACGATAAAAACGTTTTTAAATTCACTAACTTCAAAGGATCTGGCCATCTCTGCTTCTATTGATTAGTATTTTCCATAACGATTTTTTAAAATCCCTATTAGAAATGTTCTATATATATATATCATCAAATATCAATACATACATTTTCTAATTACGCTGCAATACAAAAGACTTTAGCTAGTTCGATTAACCCTTTCAGGCCCATGGCTCAGCCAACGGATGAAATTTCTTTGAGACTATATATTTAATATGGACAGTGTGTGTTGTGAATATTCTCATCAAAACTTTTTAAAAAACCTTCAGAGTCCTTTTCAACCCATGCCTGTATCCTCCTACGGTGATGGCGAAGAAGTTCTTTTAGAATAGAGGTGGTGCTCCAAAAACCCATCAGGTTTACCACTTGAGTGACCTCGTTAGGATTATAACTCTTATATAGATATATGCACCGAAATCTCCTCTATGTTATAGAGAAAACCGCTTCTCAATATCTCTTTGCATTCGCGAGTTATTCAAAGATTAAGAAACTCGAAAAAACCGTACTTTATAAAGTACGCTGGTACTTAAAGGATTAAACATGAAATAATCTTGGAAATTACTTGATCATATGATAAATTTTACAGTGAGATTTTTAGACAATTATTAGTTCGTGCAATATTCGTTAGCAGGTTATACGTCAACTATCATAGGCAATTAATTCCATAGGATGAGAGTGGATGAGACACTTTTTGTGTCCCGAAAATATTTCAGCTATTTTGTGTCGAAATAAATCCAATAATGATTCCCGACAAGATTGCAAAAGTTTATTTCACAATAACTCTCAATCAGTTTTTCGAGTGATAACTGTATATCTCTACGGAGACTACAGAAACATATTTTGACGATTCTTGTAGCGAGTTAAGAGTGTGACTCAAAAAATTGATCAATAGATATTACGAAATAAATTCTTACAATTTTATCAAGAGTTGTCATTACATCGATTTCAAAGCAAAACAAGATAAAATATTTTAAAGTGAGAACAATGATCTTATCTGCCCTCGTCATTTTAGATCAAATGTATTATATTAATGTGGTGTCAGAATAACACTTTCTATCCTTCGAACATGAACTAAGCAGCTAATGTGTTCCATTTCTCAATCTTATGTAACAGTGTATTCATATATACGCGATAGTTATGCTATCATAGCGTTGGACACATGCTTCGAAGTAATTATATTCAAAATTGTCGTTCTCCAAAGGCTAGAACTGGTATTAGAAAAAGTTCATACTTGGCGAACATTAGAATTCGGCAAGTTGTTAATTATTTTAAGCACAGAATTATAATGATCTTTGAACAAAATTGAAACATTCAATTAGTTTGTCTGGTCTTCATCATAATATAAACAAAATTTATTAAAAATACAAAAAAGATGAATTTTTTTATATGAAAACAATCAAACAAAGTGAATAGGAATAATTCTTTCTGCATACCATTTCGTGATAAAGTAAATAGATATAATGATCACAATGATATGAAATGAATCATTTTATCTTTCGCTTTCCTTGACATCGGAAACGCAAAATAATATTAAATATCAAAAACATGCTATTCTCTCAATATCAAACAAAGCGAAAGATAAAACGACCTGTCATATCTGTGTTTACCATAGATGTGGCGACGGGGAGGGAAGAGTGCACATTTCTCTCTTCGAGACAATTTTCATGTTTTCCAAATAAAAATCATAGAATGA